AGAGAGAGAGAGAGAGAGAGAGAGAGAGAGAGAGAGAGAGAGAGAGAATCTCGGGACACCACATGTTATTAGCGTTCACATCCAACCTTGGAGTTTAATCTTCCCCCCGTGTTCTTCACTAGTTAATCCTGTCTCTTAAGAAATTTCCCTTAAATCCCCCATGTGAATCTCCCTTTTTATTACTATGCATTAAAATCACAAAAGATGAGCCTTTGTTTACATGAAAAATTAATAAAAGTTTGAAAAACACAGCAGGTGATCAAAACTAACCTCTGCATTGAAGGCAAGATAGAAAACCTTCCAGATAGTTATATAGAGTTGCATTGCATAAACCAAAGACAGTAATGAGGCATTCCCTAGTGACATCAGTCTCTCCTAATAACGAGTGTCTCACATTGAATACAGGAATCATATTCTTGAATCTGTTATTTAAATAAAACACAGTGAAAATGACATAGTTTCGTCAAACAATGGTAATACAGTATCTAACCACTACAACTTACTTCCTGAGTGATGATCTTCAAAGCTCTCAACTTTTCCATTGCCACCAATGTTAACAAACTCCCGAATCTCCTCAGCAAAACAAAAATTTAGGAACCTTTTAATATGCTAATACCACTATTGTTTGAAGAATATTTCACACCATTGCATTCGGCTTGTTGTTCTGTCACTCACAGTGTCAAATCCCAGTCAGTAAGAGTAATTGGCACAAGGTGTTTGTAAAGACTCTTTGCACAGCAGCCATTTTGTCGTGCAGGGTGAACGCAGGTGTAATTAATAACATTAATTATGGCCCTGCTGCATTTCGGCCTTGCTATTGTGGCTAATGGCTCACTGGAATGACTACAACACTAAAGAGCATGGGCCATAATGAACAACTCCTGTGTCTGCCCTGCTATGACATGTCAGAGTGGATGCTGTACAGTCACACACAGTTGGAAATTGCTGTCAGAACTGCTTAGCACTTCCATACCAGTACACAGGCTAATAGCATTCAATGCTAACACTTTAACTGACATTTCAACTGCTATCAGCACTTACACACATCCACAGTTTCCCCAGTTGCACGTTATCGTTTCATCTCTTCAATTAGTGCTTCTTATTCTGTCAGCTCAGCAGTCCAGCTGACATTTTAGCTGCTTACAGTGCATACACCTTATCTTCTTGCAGTACTTACATCTTCTTGTATCAGTATTACAATTTAAAATGACACTTAATCAGTTTTCAGTAGTCATGCTTCAACACATGCTTTCCTCTCCAGCGTCAGGGGCGACTGTGGCTCAGCGGTAGAGCAGGGTCGTCCTTCAATCAGAGGATCGGCGGTTCGATCGCGGCTCCACTAGTCCATGTCGATGTGTCCTTGGGCAAGGCTATTAACCCCAAACTGCTCCCGCAGGCTGTACCTTTGGTATGAATGTGAGTTAGCCCTGATGAGCAGGTGGCACCTTGCATGGTAGCCCCTGTCATCAGTGTATGAATGAGCGTGAATGTGAGTGTTAAAGCGCTTCGAGTGGTCGGAAGACTAGAAAAGTGTACAGTTCATTTACCATTCCTTCAGTTCAAGTAATGTCAAACTGCTTTCACAGTTTACACCTCAAGTGTCTTGTACTGCTGTCAGTATTGGCCAAAAATGAGGTTCAATTATTCGCTCTAAATATATTAATATATATCCATATTTTGTGTATATATTGTCGATTACAATGTGTCCTAACTGGCTACGAGCGATGCAGCACTGCGCAGCTCTGAACTTCAGTCGGACACCCTGTTTCTAATTATTCTTGTTCCACGCTTTGAAAGCGCAGGGTTGGATGGGTCTGATTGCTGAAGTAGAAAAGAGGAGTTTTCTGTCACTGCCCTGTCACTTCTATCCACCTTTCACTCACCTAATTAGTTCATTCAGTGCACCTGCCAGTCACACTCGCCTCATCAGCTCATCACTCTCACCTGCTCACTCTGCCTCTTCACTATATAAACCCCTGCCTCAGACACACTCACTGCCAGATCGTTCTTTGCATTCATGCTCAACTTTCCCGCACTCACCCTTGGACTGATTCCCTGTTGCCGACCCTGCCTGTCCCGGACTACCTCGCCTTGCCTCTGCCCTGGTAACTTACTCAGCCCTTCTGTCCTTGACCACGAGAAATCTGTCAGATTCTTCCAGAGAATCTTCTGCCTGTCGTGTGTTGCAAATAAAGAACTCAAATCATATCAGTCCTGGTGTTGTCGTACTGCTCCTGGGTCCTAACTACACCCGTTACAGTACGATCTGGCCCCATCATGGATCCAGCAGATGGCACCATGGCATGGACCCGGCTCGAGGCGATCGAGGAGACGATGCAACGAACTGAGACCATGGTGGTCACCAACACCGCCGAGGTTCACCACAACCTGGCGAATCAGAACCAGATGCTCATCACGTTGATTGACCAGGTACGACAACTCACGGCAGTCGCAGTTCCGACCAACGCGACGGCGTCGCCGCCACTTGCTCCGGTTCCCTTGGGAATGGATCCAGCAGTAACTATGGCAGTCTCAGAGCCCCGGGTGGGGGAGCCCAAACGTTACGCTGGGGATCCTGAGGGATGCAACGCATTCCTGACGAACTGTTCCATCCTGTTTGTGTTGCAGCCCTGCACCTTTGTGTCAGAGGATGCCAGGGTGGCGTTTACCATCAACCACCTGACTGGGAGAGCTCGTCTGTGGGGAACAGCGGAATGGGATCGTCGGACTCCTGCCTGTGCTTCCTTCCAGTCCTTCTCCGCCGAACTACGCAAGGTTTTCGGACTGGTGTCCAGAGGACCGGACGTCACCAGAGGGCTAATGGGGCTCCAGCAGGGCCACCGATCTGTCACGGACTACGCCATTGATTTCCGGACTCAGGCACGATTAAGCTCTTGGAACATGGATGCCCAGTGTGATGCGTATCTACTCGGGTTAGCGGATTACGTCAAGGATGAACTCATCGCGTTCGAGCTACCCACATCCCTGGACGGACTTATCGAGGCAACCTCCAGAGTGGATTGCCGCATCCAGGTGAGGTGGCTGACAAGGCGCTGGGAACAGTCAAGCCAGGTGGGTCATGTTTGCTCACAATTGCCCTTTAACAGCCCGGGCTCGCCAGTACTGGTGAGCCGAGCAGTTTCCCGATCCTCCGCCTGTCAACGGCCACTTTTCCACGCCCAAGTACTGTTGAACGGGGGCTCCCATACTATTTCCACCTTCCTGGATTCTGGAGCAGACGCATCTATTATGGACGAGGACCTCTGTACACAGTTGGGGATCGACCGGATACCTCTTCCCCAGGCTGTTCCAGCCAGCGCCCTGGACGGTCATCTTCTGGGCACAGTGACTCATCAAACCGTTCCGGTACACATGCTGCTGTCAGGCAACCATCACGAGACCATCAGCTTCCACATCTTGCAAACCCCTCGCATCCCCCTCATTCTGGGATACCCCTGGCTGCGTCGACATAATCCGCACATCGACTGGACTACGGGGGCTTTTCGGGGTTGGAGCCAGTCCTGTCATCTAGTCTGCCTGAAGCAAGCTGCCGTTCCACGAGGTGCCGCGCTCACCAATTGCACCCCTGAACTTATGGGGGTTCCTGCAGAATACTTGGACTTTAGGGAGGTGTTCAACAAGTCCAAGGCCATGTCTCTGCCTCCCCACCGTCCGTATGATTGTGCCATCGACCTCCATCCTGGTATGTTCCCACCTAAG